AGGGCTAAGCCTACTGCACGGTACACGGATGCCCTGGAGGCCTGATTCTGCGCAGTGGTATGTTTGCTCCGCCAAACATGCTGATACACATTAATTACATCCAGGGCTCCAAATTGCTGATGAATCCGTGTTAAGGTGACTCTGCCCTTTAAAAACGTTTTGCATTGAATGGCCTCTGCAGGTCCCAGCCTGGTGTGAACTAGAGTAGCCAGTCCAGAGCACTTGTCCTTGTCAGCAATGGGGGTGCCCACACAATGCCATGGGCCTGACCTGAACTCAGTCATCTGTGACCAGTGCGTCTCCTGCAGCATGATGACGTCATAGCCACTCGCCTCCTTCGTGGCGAGCCAAGCCTGCAATTCCTGCCACATTGCACTCGAGAGACCCGAAACGTTGAAGGTTAGAACCTCAATTCTACGAGCAGGATGGTTGGCCTCCGTGTGGGGCCGAGCTCGGCTCCCATCCTGAACCTGGCGGTCGGCTCGGGGCTGTCTCGGTGGCAGTGGTTGTCCATACTGCGCTTGGAGCTCACTGGCAGTGCAGAGCCGGCCTCTGTACATGGTAGGACCTTTGGCAGCTCGTGCGCGAGCTCTTCTGAAGGCTCTCTTTGCGCTCCATGGGTATGCAAGAGAGGCTGAAGGGTGGGCCTCGGAATGCCCAGCTGCGCCAGCGCCTTTGCGGGGCAGTGTATTCGTGCTCAATAGTGATACCCCCGCTTTCGAGACCCCGCTGGTATGGGCCTCAACCCTCGATTCTCCGACCCCTGAGGCTGGATGCAGGCTGAGGAAAAAGAAAATCCAGAACAACCACCTGCACCGCCTGAGAACTTGTTCGTATCCTGGTGTTGATGTTGAGGGGCCGGCCCCGGATTTGGGACCGGGGTAGCTCGATCTGTGTAATGGAAAAGCATCGGTCTGTTTGTGCTCTTGCTGAGGTGATCTGTGATGCACTGTGTTCCAGACCATCGGAAAACTCAACTGCTCTCTGGGGTTCCGGCTTCTCTGGAGCCTCCAGCGGTAGACCCGCTGCTGTATGTACAAGGGCAGACAACGGTACAGTGGGGCAAGGTGGTACATGAGAAAGGCTTGCGCGCGCCAGCATGCAAGATGAAACGCCAAGAGCATTGCCCATGCGAGGGGTGTTGCGGTGAGCAAACGCAAGCGCCACTTTCTCTGTCGTGTGTGCTGCCCTTCCCTGTACCTAAGTCTAGCCCAACCCCTAGAACGCATCCTACAGCTAGGGTCTGGGTGCTTCAGTGCTTGAGCTGTGTGGCAATCATCGGCTCCTGGGCCAGGGCCGGCTGAGTCGACTGTAAGCAAAACTGCCCTGTGGCAAAGGTACCGTCGGTCTCCGGAAAAAGTCTGCTGCAACGCGCCTGCGAAGAAGAAGTTCCCTGCCCGACCTTGCAGCAACGACTGTGAACAGAAGGCACTCTCACAGGACGCGAGCAAGTATGCAGATGTGACCCTACCCATGGCAAGCACACGAAGCATGTATACGGACGTGGCGTTGCCTCGCACTGTCAGGTCCTTTTGCTGCGGCTGCTGCGGCAGCTCAGCAGCCACTACGGCAGCCCCGGCATCGGTTGCCGATGTCCGCTGTGCATCAACAGACGGCTCAGAAGCTCTCGATGTCGCCTGTGGACTGTCGTCCAGAGCTGATTCCTCAGCGGTCCGCGGCCCCGGTGGGGCGGATAGATGCAACGTCGGCGGCAGTAGCGGCAGCGGTGTAGGGGCCGGAGGATCGGCTCCCTCAGTGCTTGCAATCAGTGCCACCTGGGTACTTGAGCTGCCAGCTGCAGTCGGTGGCTCCCTCTGCGCCTGAACCATGATCTGCATGATCTGCTCCTTGGCCTTGTCCTGATTAGACTTGGTACCCTCCAGCAGAAGTGTCCAGCGGCCTTCCTTGGGCTTGGAGGAGAGCAGTACATGTAAGAGGCCACTGTTCCTCTGAATCTCATCCAGTTTCTCCCGCAGTACCGGGATCCCTTGGCCATCCGGGATTCTAACAAGCAAAGAGTTCCTGACATCCAGCGGTGGGTCCCTGAGCATGGTTGGCTGCTCCACTCTCGCAGCATGTACGGCCGGCCCGGCTCCCCCTGAAGCAGAGGAGGAGGCTGCCTCTGTAACCCCAGTCTCGCGTAGTGCTGGCTCCTCCTCGGCAGGGTGCTTGGCCCACGAGTCCTTGCTGGACTCCCACCAGTCCGTTTTCCATCCAGAAGAGTGGTACCCTGCACCTTGTCCCTGCCTAGCCTTCTTCTCGCCCTTAGTCCGCCGCCTTGTGCCATCAGCCCTGTAGTGCGAGCGAGGGTTTGCACGCTTGGCCTTTGGCCCTTCCTCAGGCGAGCTCTCGGGGGCCGACATGTTCGGCTCACCCCTCTGCAGGTTACGAGCCAAAAACTGCCACTGACACGTGCTGGCGAAGAGCTGGAATGTACCAGGCTGACACGCACGGCTGAGGTTACCTTGCAGCACTGCAGATGGGCCCCAGACCCTTGGTTTGTGCAGCTCCGTCACGCATAAGATGAGCTCCTGACAAGGAAGGACGGAGAGACATACACATCGCAGCGTCAATCGGTTGTGTGTCCGGCCGGGCGCCTCCTCACCTGAGCAGATGAGTGAAGGGCCGAAATCGGCTCCCAGTGTCAGCCACACCAGGCACTCCTTAGTCCATTTCCTGAAGCACGTCCGGAAGCGACTTGGGAGCAATCCGAGAGTCATGCGCGGCCTGGGCCCTATCCAGGGCAATCCTGCACAATGCATCCCTTTGAGCTCGCTTGGTCTGCTGAGGCTGCGCGACAGAGACCTGAGTGGATCTCTGTGCCTGCAGCTCTGGTGTGTTCCCGAAGCACAGGGCCGTATCATCGGCAACCCGCTGGAGTTCACGCTGAACCACCTCTCGCAGTTGCTTTCCGCACAGTCCTGCAAGCATTCCCTCCAAGTGCACCTGCTGTTGGTCATGCTTGAGTCGGACAAAAGCCAAGCAGTGCTCACGCAGAGCAACATCAGAAATCTTGTTCTGAGTACCGCTCTTAGCCATGCCATGCGAAAACTACGCGTGCGTCGAGGGGCCCCGATTGAAAAGAGAAACCTGTTAGAGTCCAGAGACCGTTCAGCAAAGCGCAAAAGCCGACGGCTACGAAAACACTTGAGCCAGAATCTTGGATGGCCAGTCAGAAATGTTGGAGAAAGATGGAACTCTTTCTACCCAGCGGATGCACGAGCCTCCAGCTTCTATTGAAGCCAAGCGTCGCACCAGCACATGCATCGCCAAG